CAGGGAGGGAGCCTGATGGGGAGACTGTACTTGGGGGGCCCAGCGGGGTGGGTTTTGCCCTCCAGAAAGGGGGTCTTCAGTTCAGATCTCCACCCTGGGGCTCTCTCTGCTTTTCCTCGTTGACCTGGGCACAGGAGATCCTTGGGAGGAGGCTGGTCCTGGGGCAGGGAGGCAGCACCAGGGGAGATGTAACCCCCCTCCTCCCATCTCCAGGCACCTCTGAAGGGGACAAGAAGACTGAGAAGAGCCCAACAGATGACAAGGTAGCCATCATCCTCACCCTATACCCCAAAGGCCCCCGGCCTCGGAGCAGCGTTGGCAGAGGCTGCAAGAATCTCCCTGCTGGGCTCCCCGGGGCTTTCCTCAGCCCCTCTGGGGCCCCGAACCCTTCTTTCCTCTTCCCCCAGAACAAGAAGACACAGCCAGGGATTCGCGGTGGCTATCTGCAGTCTCACTATTTTGTGGCACTTTATCGCTTCAAAGCCCTGGAGAAAGATGACCTGGATTTCCCGTAAGTTCCCAGCCGTGGAGTGGGCACAGGGGTGATGAGGGGAAGGACGTGGGGTGTCCGGTGGGGAGGGGGATAAGTCTTCACCTCAGCAATGAGGGTCTGGAGGGGTCTGTGAACGATTGAAGGAGGGCAGAAATCAGAGCCATGCTGGCTGTGCTTTGGGTTTTGAGGCTTTTCTGCCTGCCCCAATGGGCTACACATCGAGCGGGGGCCCTGGCTCTCGCTGAGCCAGCTCTCCCAGCTCCCAGGCTTTGGGCACAAGCCTCATTTCCAAGGCTGCTGGTTCCACTGGTTTCTTGCACCCCAGACTTGAGGCTGAGCTGCTGTCCCTGAGCCCGCGGGCTGTGTGCATTCCTCGACCTTCCCTGACACAGGGCTCTAGGAGCTGGTGCTGTGGGAAGAGCAATTTTCCTTGCCAACCTCAGGGTCTCCCATGGCGGGGGGTCCCTGCCCCTCCTCTGAGCGCGCCCTTCCTTTCACAGGCCAGGGGAGAAGATCACAGTGGTCGATGACTCCAATGAGGAGTGGTGGCGGGTAAGGCTGGTGTCCTACAAGCACAGAGGGGAAAGATGCAGAGCTTAAAGCAAAGGGAGAGGTCAGCTGGGAGTGCAAATTGCACTCTAAGGGGGACACAGCCCCCTAAATCTGCTGTGTCCTCATGCCAACCCACAACCTGCAGGCTGTTTGTCATGGGGGAGTCTTGGGGTCATACAGATTGGCCCCAACCCCTACCTCGCACTCATCCACTGACTTCTTTCAGGGGAAGATCGGTGAAAAAATTGGCTATTTCCCTCCAAACTTCATCATCCGGGTGCGAGCAGGTGAGCGGGTGCACAAGGTGACACGCTCCTTCGTGGGCAACCGGGAGATCGGGCAGATCACGCTCAAGAAGGATCAGGTGAGACGGGTCCATGTGGTCACAGCCCGTGGTCCTCCAGCCCCCACCTGCACCTCCGCTCCAGCCTCCCTCCAGGCCCCCACCCGTCACGGCTGC